TTATCATTATTCCATTCTCTCTCTGCTCAAAATGATCAATCTTACGGATATTCACAAGTGTCATTGTTCTGGTGACGATCACTCGTTGTTCCATGCCAGAGGTGAGTGAATTACAACGCCATCGAATCTTGTCAAGGGAAGCGAGTATAATACCCCTATAGCCGCCCAGATGGTCTTTACGACATGTCGAAAGTCCACCGGTTCGAGTTGGTAGTGTCTCAGCCCTGATTCTGTTTTTCTCGTGAAGCTTAATTCAATTTCAATAGATTTTACAATCACTCCCGCTGAAGTTTAGCAATGCCTATATCAGTTAGTTTTTGTTAGATGAACGATGATAGAACGAACGAAACTCCCAATGAGCGTTTCACCAGATTCGTCCGTTTCAGGAGAATCTTTCGTCGCGCGACCCACCCACATCAACGAGTCTTCCAGATCTGCGAGACTTGGATCCCCTCCATTACGAAGTATGACCTCTCTGGTGCAGATGTGGACTGCCATGACGTTTTTGTTCAGGACGCATCGACTGACCCAGCGTGCAAGGACGGTAGTACTGATTGGCACAAGGTAGGTTGGCTTACATTGTATGTTCAACACAGCGTTTGTCTCAGTTCATCACTCAAGACCCGCAATTGGGTTATGCCTTCTCCGGCCTCCCATCAAGCAAGGTATGCGATGGTTCAAGTTCATATCATACATAGGCTACGTTACGGCTTATTTACGTTATGGTGCGCGTGACGCAAAGAGTTCGCGGCTACGGAAGGCCCATTCCCTCGAAGGGGCTTACGACTTTACGGTTGTGCTGAACTGCCTTTCCGAAATTGACTCGCGCTTCCATCGTGGGCATGTGTGTAGAGTGTTGGTCGACCTTCGATTTGGAGTTTCATGACCCTCCTACGACTTAGTTTTTGTCGGACTGTTTGCAATGCTGCGTAAATCAGATTTATAATCTATCTCATCTCACGGAGTGCTCCGCTCCGCCCATCTGATTTTTTGTTATGAGTGGTATTTTGCTTCAGAAGAATCTTCATCCGAGTCAAGACCATAAGCGACCATACTGGTCACTGTACGTTCCCGGAGGTTGTGGAATTCTGAACGTAATTGGCGAGAGGATCTGTTGTCTATCATGGGGCCTTTCAGAGCGCCCTCTTCGCCCTCCCTCCCTCGCAAGATGGTCAGGCCTTCGAGGTAGGGGTAGGAGATGTATGTTTTTTACACCGGGCCTAGTGCGGCGACTGTTCACAGGGGCGAAATGGTTCCCTCGATGACGTGATTGTGTGGCTCGGGGTTCTGTTCAGGAACCTCCGCTCTTGTACAAGGAAGAGGGTTACATGATACGCTTCATGGAGGAGCCTTCCGATAGGCTATTGGCCATCGAGGAGTTGAGATGTCCTGTCGGCATGGACGCCTCCAGAGAAGCACGTTCCTGGCACTACGTATTCCCACAAGGACTCCAGTGGGTCTCTACTTGTTTTCTGCTGGGATGGTTGTGTTTTTCTGGTCAGACACTTCAAACTGGCGCTACCAGAATATGACGGGGCATCCTTCAGCGAGAGATTTTATAGAATACGGCGTTCTGAGCGCTTGTCGGACTCGCTGAGGTTGATTTATTATGGTACGCATCCGGATGATGGAGAGAAAGCACCTGTCGGTGATACGAAGCAACTGTTGCTGCCGATAATGAAGGCCTTTTGCAAATATGTGAGAGATGAGCTCGCGAATCGAGGAAAGGGCTACAGTGTGTTGAGGGTGGGAGGATTCGTTTCGTATGTGAGCTGCGAGAATTTCTGTTCAGCATGAACCGTTTATGAAGGTGGAACTAGATGCAGAGAGTCCTCAGAACGTCGTCAAGGTAGTGGTGGGATAATGATATGTTGGACGAGATTTCTCACAGGATATGTCTGAGGCCATGCCTGCTACAGCGTACTTGAAGAACTCGACGAACCCTGCGAAGCTCTGGGTAGGTTTATTGTTGCCGGACTCGTTTTGGAGCTCGCATGATGAGCTTGGCACGATCAAATGTTTGATGATAGTTGGGCGATTTGGAAGTTGTGATTTATTGACGGGGAAGATTGTAATTGTGGAAGCGCGCAGAAAGTTTCTGTATTCCCAGGTAGCTTTCCCGAAATGGAAGAGGCGACCGATATACACGGTGAAGAGTGGTGACGATTATGTGAAATTCGTTGTTGAGGATGATCGTCTGGCTGTGAAGGCTATGTCGTGTCCTGGGCGGAAACCTGGAAAAACGCTTCACAGGAAGTGATGATACTTTTCGCTGCTGAGCTGAGTGATGAGGTTGATTGTTCTGGCGTCAGGTTGATCCAGCCGTCTTGGGGAGGACTTGACCTCGCTGGTAGGGGGTTGAGCTATTCGATCGTCGGAGGTGCTGCGGCGAGTTTCGAAGATGTGGAAAAGGCGATTAGGTGGATGTATGCGGGCATGGATCCGCTAAGCATTGGTGAAGAAAGCATGAGGGAGCTGAGTCGGAAGAAGTCGAAAGGATCCAGTGATAACGCCATGTTCATTCGAATGTTCTGTCAAATTCCATGGAAGCATGTCGAGGAGAAAAGGCGCTCTAAGAAGAGCAAAAAGAAATACACATTATCAACTTGAGCGTGACGAAGGAGGCTGTGACAACATGTTGTCATGTAGATGTGAATGGGCATATGATGGTTGCTGAGAATGATCGGTGTTGTGTTCGTTCATACCTGAGACGCAAGCTCTAACTGTGGACGTGGCGTGTGTTACGAGGCGCCCACAAGTTGCGGATACCTCTTGAATGTATATCTCCCCATAGGATCATATGTAGAGGTCTTTCTATGAACGAGTTAGAACTCGGGTCTTGAGGGATAAGGCTGACGTTAGCGTGGCGTGGTCGAGATTCTCACACTGAGATTCAGAGACTTCATGGGTCAAAATGATGAGAGTTTTGCAAGGGTATGTCGGATACCCCGACTCGGATTACATCTTCTGAGCGAGCTGAGAAGAAATGTCTTCGGGTGTCGTAGGTTGAATGTCAACCCTGTCTGCAGATTAGCTGGGTGTGGTCTAGAGAGCTCTTCAGACGAAAGCATTCATGCACGCTCTGGGGCAGTCATGTAGGGGTAGTTTAAGTGTCGTGGGATCTCGTTAGGAGTAGTGGCCATTCGAGTAGATACAGTTTGTATCCCAGTCTACACTGACATATGGACATACTACGACCGAATGCGTCGACTTATATTCATTGCCCGATTAGTTCAGCTGGATAGAATGTCTGCCTACGGAGCAGATGGTCGTAGGTTCGAATCCTGCATCGGGTATTATTATAGCTGCTTGTTGCCCTTTGAATGTAGGAGCGTGACTTGACACAACTGAGAAGACAACATCCACAAACTTCTGCCGTCGTTGCTCAGGTCGCGCCATGAATATAACAATCGGATAAGAATGCACTCACAATTCGAGCGACGTACTGCCATTGTCTCTGTCGTGGGGACGGCTTTGCGCTGTGAGTGGAAGGAAATCGACTCTAGTAGAGGTGATAGTGATGAGTTCATTTTTGATACCCCTTTTTCTACAATTCAAGTCCCTGTTGAGTTATGTGACAAATCCGATCCCTAGTGGAATGAGTGTGAGACATGCCCAAAATTGCAATTAAGTTGATGCTATCAGACACTACTAAATCCAACGCTCCCAAAATGATACACGAGCGAAGTTACAGCGGTCTACACTAAGAGGACGTTGAGACGAGGTTGCTACGCTCCGCTGTGAAACATGTGTTTGAAATGCTTGTATGCATAAACCGCACGCCCAGATGATCGATTTGTTCACAGCTAATTTAACGTAGGGCGACGCTGCTCCTTCACACTCAGTCCATCGCGAGCAGGTCTGTTTCGTCAGCATGGGACCTAAGATTCAAAAGTCAAAGGAGGCCAAGGCTAAGGCCGCTATGGCCGGTGGCAAGGGTAAGAAGAAGAAGTGGTCTAAGGGAAAGGTAATACCACATTTCTCTCAAATCATGGTGGTGATAGATGGTGCTCGTGGGTAGGTCCAGGAGAAGCTCAATAATGCTGTCTGCTGGGATAAGGCTACCGTTGCTAAGCTCCAGAAGGAGATCCCCAAGGCCAAGTTGATCACCCCCGCTATCGTGTCTGAGCGTATCAAGGTAGAGCAGTGGAAGATTCAAAACAGGTCCGATGATGGTCCATGTGGTTTAGGTCAATGGTTCTTTGGCTCGTCAAGCTCTCCGTATGCTCGAGACTACCGGTCAGATCCAGAGGGTTGGCGTGCCTCACTCTCGTGCTCTCATCTACACCAGGAAGATCACCGCTTAATCAAGCTTGAATTCTCCGGGTGTTGGCACCGACGAAACTGTTGCTTGCTTCTGACCATCCTCGTTATTGTCGAGTTATCAATTGTGTCTATAGGGGGAGGTTGGAATTGTCTTTCGGCAGAGTAGAAGATTCTCTCGAGAACTGCTCGTTGCAAATGGGTTGCTGCGCTATCGTTCCAGAAGCTCACATAGGTGTGGTTGAGAGGTTCGGCAAGTTCGACCGCACCGAGCATCCGGGCTGCGTGTGCCTGATTCCCTGCGTCACTGACGTCAGTGGTATGGTCCCTCTTAACGTGAGGCAGCTGAATGTTAGAGTGGAAACTAAAACTTCTGATAACGTGTTTGTAATTATGGAAGTTTCGGTTCAGTACGAAGCCATACCCGAAAAGGTAGTTTGTAAATATGGCCCAGAACGCTCGAGAAATATATTTCGTTTTTCTAGGCGTATGATGCTTTCTATCGTCTCACTTCACCGGCCGGGCAGATAAACTCCTACGTTTACGACGTCGTGAGGTCCTCGGCACCAACAATGGCATTGGATGAGGTTTTTGAGGAAAAGCAGAAAATCGCCGTAGATGTGAGTTGTTACTCGATGAGGCTGATACTGTTGTTGTGAGTGTACTCATGGTCAGATCAAGAATCAGCTTATTGATGCTATGACTGGTTTCGGGTTCCGAATTCTGGATGCACTGGTCGTCGACATCGAGCCTGATTACACGGTGAAGGACGCGATGAACGAACAGAACGCTAGTGAGACGGGATTGTTGGTGACACGTGGGGTGACAGTAGGTCAGGTCGTCGTATGCGCATTGCGGCTCAAGAGAAGGCCGAAGCTGAGAAGATCATGTTGGTGAAGAACGCTGAAGCTGAGGCTGAGTCGAAGTTCCTCGCTGGTCAGGGAATCGCCAGGCAGAGACAGGTGAGGAATTATCGCATCGCTCCGCTGTTGTTTTTGTGAGTGGTTGTAATAGGCTATTATAGAGGGGTTGAAGACGAGTGTTGAGTCTTTCACCGAGTCCACTCGGGGAATCTCCTCGAAGGACGTTATGGAGCTACTCTTGATAACGCAGCATTTCGACACGATTAAGGTGAGGAGGGGGACGGACGGATGAAGGGATAAGTTTTGTGATAGAATTATGAGGAATACTCTGCTCGAGCTCTTAAGCGTTTGAAACTGTTGGTGTTTGCGAAATTCCTGTATATCTTTTTATGAGGGCGATCTGTTGACCGCAACAGAGATGAAGACGAGGCTAGAGTCATAATCAATTCTCAGGACCTGGCTTCAACGTCGAAGTCGCAGACGATATTCATACCGCACAACCCGGGTGCTGTTGGGGAGATAGCGCAGGAGATCATGTCGAGTCTGAAGCCTCCGAAGGAGTAGGAGGAACCCTCCTCTTTGTTGTTGTCGCTGTTGGAGGCCGAATGCAGCTTTAATATTCTGGTGGTGATCAGGAGTATCTTAAATTGAAAGTAACTCTGTAGGCTGAAAAAGTAACGTAGATTTTTTAGAGGAAAATATTGTTGTCGAAATAGTAGACGCTCAGTCGCTCTCTGAAGGACAGCGATTGTTAAATGCGTCACCCTTATCATCGGTTTTTATTTATCTGCTCGAGCCTTGCGTTGTCGTACTCAATACATGATGGGAAGACGTTGAGGAATCGTAAGGGTGCGCAAGTGGAGCAAGATTCATGACTTGGTATTGTTTTTGGAGGTGTTTCGATGGGGCCTCGCCGAACGTCTACGAGAACGCTCCCGACCAACGCTGATTCATGTAAAGGACGAGTTGGCGGAGAGACGGTATCGGTAATATCGTCGACGGAGGAATCGCAGGAGCTGGATGCCCTGTTGGAGCTTTCGGTGATATTGTGGAAGTCGCGAATGGGATGTGACTGTTGTGTGTGGTTTAGGGTGAGGATAATAGTGTTGATGAAGAGCAGGAATTTTTATTCAAGGGGAAATCGCGAACAGCGGAGAAGTCGAAGTGAGCTCCTTATTGGCATCTCATGGGCTGTTAGGTGACGTTACGCTGAAAATCAGAATTGACTTCTGTCGTAAAATGCGATTTTAGGAACAGTTTTGTGAGCAACTGTGCGGTTATGGTTACATTTTAGGCGAGCTTCGTGTAATGTTAAAGGTCGGCGGAAAGAGAGGGAATCCGGGCAGGGCGCATCGACTGGATTCGCTGCGTGGAATAAGGGTAGTAAAACTGGGAGTAGGTGTGATTTTGATTATGGAATTTTTGTGATGAGAAGGTGGTTGATGCTTTTTTCAAGTATTATGATAACAGTTCACGTGGGGTTGGAATTGTTTAGGAAATTGTTCAGAATGTGAAGTATTGATCCTTGGCAAGTTTAGCTCGTCTCGAGCTATGTGGAGTGCTGGGTTGAGTACATTTGATCGATCGTTAATTTCGAGGCAATCTAGATGCGCCCGTTGGGGGTATTGTCGTCCGCGTCGCTTGGACGGAGGAGAGAGAAATTTATAAAGTTCGTGTTTGATGAGCTCTTTAGCGGTGGCGGCAGAGGAGGATTCGGGTGGCATCACGTTCGAGTGTATCACGAATGACGTCCCTGTCGTTAACCCCAGTGAGGAGCAGGTTGAGAGGCTGAAGAAATTGGTGGCTTGTAAGAACCTTTTCGCGCGGCAGCTACCGAAGATGCCGAAAGAGTAGTACTGGCAGGGAATCATCCAGGAACCTATAATGTTTCCGGGGAGAACTCATTTTGAATTTTCCACCTAGGAACACATTCTTCAATCAGTTTCTCATGTAGGAACATCATTTTCCCCATTGTTATCAAATCCTGGGGAGCGTTGTTTCTCAAAGCTAGAGGGGTCCTTGAATATTAGGACAGCAGTGGGGGGATATTTATGGGAGTTTGAGATTCAACTTCGAGAACACGACTCAGCTGAACTAGAATCGATGCACGTTAACTGGGCAGGAAGAAGTCTGGCGGGTTTTATCGTTCCATGTCGCCGTCGTGAATTTATGGTGAATCGAGCGGAGCGATGCTGCGGTTGTATTGGTCTCATGTAGGTACATTGCAAAGTTGGTGTTTGATCGCCGACATACTACGTACACTATGTGGAAAGAAGGAGCCTTGATAGGCGCTGTCTGCTTCCGGTGCTACTTCAAATACGGTCTGCTGGAGATAGCATTTCTTGCTGTAACGAGTGATGAACAAGTGAAGGTAGTGGGGGAGTGGGAGGGTTGAGTATTCACTTGTAGTGGTGGGGTGAGTAAAGAGGCACTACTAGTAATTTGGGGTGAATTCGCGGTGGAGTGGTATTGGTGTGTAGGGCTATGGTACGCGGCTGATGAATCGACTGAAGGAGTTCATCAAGCAGTGCAATCCGCATATAGAGGCGGCCGCGCCAGAGTTTCGGCTGATCACACATTTCATAACGTATGCGGATAATGCTGCTGTGGGGTATTTTGCAAAACAAGTGGGTTGGAATTTGACCGCGCGCCACGAAATTCAATTGCTTTTATTAGGGGTTCACCAAGCACGTCAAAGTGCCCAAGTACATCTGGTCAGGGTGAGCTGGATGATAATTTCGTGGCGCGTGACGGAATTTTCATCGTTTAGGATGATCAAATCGTATGAAGGTGCCCACATGATGTCGGTGGAGCTCGCCTTGGATGTGAATTATCTCCGAGTGGCTGATATGCTCTCTGAAACTCGACAGAAGATCTGGCAAGATGCACTGTAGGAGGGGTTGTCAATTTTGAATTTCATGGCGCGTGACGGTGATGACCCGTATCGTGTATTTGAAGGGTGTGAATTTCGTGGCGCGTGACAGTTGACGTCACTGGGGAGATTGTTAAGAATCATGTGTCTGAAGGGCGTGAATTTTGTGGCGCGTGACGGAACGATTAGGCCTGGGGGATTTTTTATGTAGGGACGAACGCCCCCCCGTAGAGATGCCTCCGTTGTGCGACGCTCAGCAGCTGCCCGATCCTCTACCCGTAGATCAACTTCCCGGGGTAAGTGTATGCAGTCCGTTGAGGAAATGCAAGATTGCAAGATGCGGATTTGCTGGATGGTTCAGATTGAACGATCGAATTTGAAAAGACATAATTCGATTACTCCGGCGAAATCTGATGGGGAATCAGCTCGCGAGAATGCCGACCTGAAAGAGTGGGCCGACGGTTCCTCGGGTGATGACGATGTTATTGTCGTTGTTGTGCAGGTCTTTGGAGAGCCGATTATTGTCGTTAACAGAGGCTTGCTTTGAGCACGAGTCCAGCTGGCCCTTTAGAATTCCTGTTGCTGTTAAGGACGCTCCTGACTACTATATGGTAGTTTGTTGGAGTTCCTATATGGAGTAGTGAAAAAAATACTTCACGACTACTGCATAGCGCGAATAGCGGGGTTTTCACAGAGTATCACGCGTAAAACGATTGGGCCTACTTTGAATCTTACCATCATGCGAGCTTGGATATTTTCGTTTTTATGTGATCCGTTTAGATAATAAAACATCCTTCGGATCTGTCTAGTATAAAGAAGAAGTTGCTCACTCATCAGTTGACGACGATCAGGGAGTATCGTCGTGATATGATGCGAATTTTCGACAACTGCCGTTTTTACAACGGGGATGATGGAAATATTTACGTCAAGTGGGAAGTAGCTGCTGGGAAAAATCGAAGGTAATAGTTTTGATCAGATGCGCCAGGGAATTGGAGAAATTTGCATTTACTCGGTTGAAGCAAGTTGAGGCTGATTTTGGAGGAGATGATGCTGATGAGCTTATGAACGGCAGCAGCGAAAAACGGTAGGTAAGGGGCTGCTGAATAGACTTTGTGCATGTGGGTGGAGACTAGAAGTGGCTCTCCTCAGCTGAGCTCTGGAGTTCCCTCACTGAGTATGGAAGTTTATCTACGAGTTAGGTTAGAAGTGTACAGAAACTAAGAAAATTTGCGAAAATTTTCGAAAAAAATTCATATTGTCACCAACACATGGAGTTGACTCTGTGCATGTTTTCTCACACTAATGGTGATCATTCATTGGTGTTGTCAGGAGTACTACGCCGAGCAACGACTCGAGAGGATCTGTTGTGGGGAAGAGACGGAGGGTCGGCAGCCAACGAGGCTGAGTTGTGCTGTTATAATTACAATACGATTGCCTTTTTCATCTGAGGGCGTTGTTGAGCTCAGTCGGGGTGGTGGAAAAAGTGGTATGTGTGCTCGAAGACGTCTCAGGGCACAGGAGTTTATCTTCGTATTGGACTAGTGTATTGTTATGCTATAGGGCTATATGGGATTGATATCAATATTATTTTCATCCTAAATTTTTTTATTTCCATTATTTTCTAATCGGAATTTTTTGCTGCCCAATACTCGTCGTAGAGTTTTGATAGGATGGGGAGCGTAATGCTGTTTTATTAGATTGTATCTCGTTCCTTATATGGGCTCGGAAACGGAGAAGGGAATGCCTCCTCCGCTGGAGATACCACTGCTACCACAAGTGGTACGGCGTGGGAATCGAACCAGGGATATATCGGTTGTTCATGTTTGACAGGAGGCTACACCGCGTCGCCAAAACTGCGCTGAGTTTTTGTGCCAGCCGCGCAACGTCCTCATAGTGCTCGCGCTGTTGCTTTGCATTGCTGGAAGCATCAACGATGTCTCTTGTAAGATAGTTCAGAACGTCTATGGACAGGAGTAAGCCATCCCCTATTCCTCCAGAAGGCCTAAGTCGTCGCTGTTTTAGTTACGCCTTTTTCGTTGACCAGTTCTGCAATGTTGGGTATATGGTGATGACAGCGATTCCGGCGATGGTATTGCGTAGCGAGAGAAAGCGCGAGAAAGACCCACAGGAAACCTTCCCGCCTCAGTAGGTTGTCATTCCCTAGCGTTGAGGAAATATATGTTCGCTTTCCTCAGCTGAGCTCAGGCGTTTCCTCACTGATTATAGGACTTCGGTAAAAATATGGAGGAGTCGATGATAATCTCCCGAAATTCCCTCAGAGTTCTCGTTTTGTGGTTGAGCATCTGCGTATTTTCCCGCACTGTCTCTCGTGCTGAAATCATGTTAGCTGTGAAGGTACAAATTCGCCATTATGGGCCTCCTGGACGGTCTGGGTACCCTCTTCAGCAGCATAGGGGGGCCCTCGACCCCTGGCCAGTTCCAGACGGTTCTTAATCAAACGCTAATCCCAGTGACTATGATTTGCAGTAGTCTCGTCCTTGGTACAACCTACACTGGGAAGTCCATCGTGAGTTATTGATCGGTTGTGTATGTGCTGTGGTCATCAAGCATGTTCTCAGGGCGCGGCGTTCATCGTCTTTGTCAGCGCTTGCGTTACTGTCGTCCCCTCCTTCAGTGGTGCCTCTGTTGCCAACTGCAGCGGACTGTCGGTTTGCTTGTGAGTGTAGCTGATGAATGATGTGAATGTAGTCGATTTCAATAGGTACTTCCTGTCCAACATTCCTATGGCCCTTTCTAACGTGTATAAAGAGTCGGGCTTCAACAACTACAGTGTTGGTGTGTGGACTATGACAGCTTATGTTGCCGCCTACCAAACAATCATATCATTCGGTCTTGGTTTCCTCCAGTGCGTTCCGTACCTGTCTGGACAGCCCGGAGGCGTTCCTCTCTCACCGAAATCGGTCGTGTTCAATTTTCTCAACGCCTTCAGCTTCTCCGTCGGCCCTGCCGGACTGCTACTACTAGCTTACTGCGTCGTCAACCTCGTATTCAACGTGCTCGGTGTGGCAGTGACTAGATATGGATCGGCTCTACAGGTCGGTGCCATCATGTGCTCCCTGGCCTATGCAGTGAAGTTACCCGTGTCGAGTTTGCTGTACACGAGCTCCTTCCTTATGGGTGAAGACTATGCTGAAAGCTTCTCCCCTTACTCCCTGATTGGAGTCGTCGGAGTAACTACTGGGTTTATCTTGTATGTACGCTACAGCAACTTGGGCGGCACGGAGGATCGCACTGAGTTCGCCACCCCGATGCAGGTGAGGCATGCGCCTGTGTTTGTGGTTGAGTGTCGTGATACATTTTTGATTCGTTTTCAGACGTCCTACGAAGAGCCTTGGGCCTTCCATGAGCGTGTCGTTGGATGTGTGTCCTCTGGAGTGGTGCCACACACCCCTATTGCTGATAGGAGTACCACGCCTCGTTTCAATATGAATGAAGGAGCTTGAGCCCCCCCCCTCCAGGGTGTAAACTAACTATGAGTATATGTATCAAAGCTGTAACGTTCTAGAATGGTGTATTGAGTTGCGGCTAACAACCGAGTGGTGCGGTAACAGACAGTCGTTGAGGTTGCTGTCATATGAATGTGGTTTTTTGGCGTTAGCGAGATACAGCCTATACTGGTGAGATCAGTGGTGGCTCTCGTAAGATGGAAAAGCTAGTGGCTTGCTAGTAAGTTTTTATTACTAATACTGACTGACGGTTCAACAGAAGGAAATTCAACGACTTACACCCAACACCCGCTGCTGTATTTCAAACAATGGTCAATGCGCATCATTCGGGAGATCCAGATGGAGTGTAATGAAAGACGGCGCGTACAATAGGGCGCGCCCGACATCATTAGAAGTGTAATCGATGTCCAGATCTTGCCCACTTGGGATTCCTCAAAATCATCTCCTCTTTATCCATGCGTCTTGTTCATAGCCAGAGGGAGCCTACCGGGGAAGGGATCGTCCATGCCAGAGTGCCTGCAGCAGGTCTGAACACTTCCGCGGAATCGCTGACTTTTCGTTCAAGAGGAGCAGAGTCGATCCCACTCGTCATTCAGTTAATCAGATAGTGATTGTTAAAGACCACATAGTTGTGGACTTCATACTTGTGACTTGGTCAACGGTTAACCTTGTGAAACCATGAGCGGAGCGAAGCGGACTCTCTGACTTTGCTAGACTCTCCTAGTTTATAGAGAGTCGAGACTTCCGGGAATGAGTTTCGCCGTATAGTGTTGTGATATATAAGAAAATTTCCGTGAAAAATCGCCTTCGTAAAATCATCATTATACCAATACTGTTTATACAAAAGGATTAAATTCTCTCGCTACTATCGCTGAGTATAGTCGCTTCTTATTTTTCTCCCTTCCTGATGTCCTCTTCCGCGCCTCGCGTGTTGGCCCGCAATATCAAGCCGACTGAGTTCATAATGAAGCTCGGTGCTGGTAGTAGTAGTAGTAGTAGTAGTAGTAGTAGGTGTGAGAGGCTCTCATACCGTTGACCCGTGGGTGGATCCTTTCTGCTTCCTGTGTTAGGTGGGGCTATTGAGGGTGGATTCAAGATCCCCAATTTGAGGAGGGCTCCGTTCTGGAAGTTCATATGGACGCAGCAGTTCGTCGCCAGGTGAGAGGAGTTTTTTCGGCATTCTCGGGCTCTTTTTCGTCTTTTTTCCGTTATTTTTGTTCCCCATTATTTTCGTATGATTCCTTTCGTTATCGTTTTATTGGTCCTTTTAGTAGAATTTTTTCTTCGGTTTCGTGTATTTTTTCATTCCGTAGATATCACTCCGGGATCTCTCGAAATAATTGCTTTTTTTCGTTACTTCTCGAATTGCTGCTCCTTGATCAGACAACACTTCTTCTCGGTGCATCACGCCGGGCTGCTGTTCTCGATGGCATTCTTCTGGTGGACCGGCTGGTTCGACACCGCCCCTGTCGAGAGGAGGGATAAGTAGGAAAGCGGCCTCGTTATTATTGTTATCATTTTATATACGTGATAGTATAGAAAATTAGTAATAAAATAAAATTATAAGTAATAAAATTAGTACGCGTTTGTTGTGATCGTGTGAGAGAATACAGAATTGAATAGTCGCATAAAAATTCTACTGAGGGTGTTGATGATAAAATCAATAGATGATGAAATTGTTTTTTAGGTACTACATGAATGGTGCGAAGTTCCGTCTGCAATCAGCATATCATAATCCCGGTACGAGGCCTGCTTATAAGATTGCTCAGGAGCAAGCAAAGGTAACATTATAGGCGTCAACGTTGTTAATCTGTTTTTGTTATTATCATTATGTTTCTCAAATATTATTGATGAATTCTCCTAATTGAGCAGTGACCGTGAAAAATGCCATTTGCATAACGGTTTGGTTAGCATTGTAGTATAGGATCGTAGGGGTAGTGCTGGAGGAATGTCTCCGTACGACCGCGTGGTTGGGGTGGCAGTGTTGGAGGAATCTGCGGGCTCTCCTAACTAACTAATTATTGAAGTTTACGCCCGATTTGGGGAAGAAGTGTAGAGAAATTAATATGAATTTTCTTCCGAAATTTCCTCAGAATTCTCATTTAAGAACCAACACATGTAGTTGGCCATGTGCATATTTTCCTCGGTGTAAGAAGGGCGAAGCTGTTGATCAACGATGATATTAAGTACTTCACATTCGAGATTGTAAATGTGTTGGGAGATATTATTTTCTTTGTAGATCCGCTACTTTTATCGTGGTTTCGATCACCCCTATACCATTAACGAGGCCAAGGACCAGTTATGGAAACTTAGAGAGAACTGGATTATACAGAACTACCCGGGCGTGCAGTACCCGTATGTGAGCAAGCAGATGATGCCTCCTCAGCTGCCCGATAAGATGTATAAAATTGCGACACCTGATGCGAGTGAAGCTAAGCATTGAGGAGGGCAGAGGCGCCTTTTAGTAGGATGGCATTTTCCTGTGTGTATGTTGGGAAGTAGAGTTGGGGGGAATTCCGAAATTATATGTGTTCTGTCAGCCTCGTGTTATACTAATGTTATCATCTCGTGTGCTGTACAGTAGCTCGGTACTGCTCGGACGGTTCGGCCCGGCCTTAGCACGACCAGCATTCACTGTGATGGGAGCATCTTACCGTCGTTTCGGTCGAGCATTTAGTAGTAGTGCTACGGCTGATGAGAGCCATGAGGATAAGGGGGAGCAGCAACAGGAGTATAGTAAATCGAAGGAGTTGGGAAATCCAATAAGTAATAATTTTGTGGCGCGCGAAAAAAATTATATGTGATTGATTTCAGCGTGGGCAAACCCGACTGGTGGGCCTACTATTGATGACTACTCGTCGGACAATTGGAAATGGGTGTTCCCTGTTGGCACCGGTATGATATTCTTCTTCGGATGGATAAAGGGGAGGAAGGACCGCAAGGAGAAAAGCTTGATTAAAGGTGTTCCTGTTTGAATGACGAAGTACCTATTTTCTGTTCTATACATTCATCATCATTACATACTCGAATTTATCTTCTCCAACGCCTCTAGATATTCGCGTTATTATTAATTTCGTGGATAATGATGGACAGTATATCTTCTATTCACTGGGAGTATAAGTGATCAAATTCGCATGGAGTGTTTTTATGCAGCAGCAAACGGATGGGAAGTATAAGGGTTTCTACTCGTTTTGTTACTAAAGAGAAGGAGTACTGTTTCCTAGTCTGTAGTGGTATCCAGTCTCGAATTTATCTGCTCATAGGCCTCTAGAAATTCACGTTATCTTCAATTGAGTCTGGGAAGGTTATCAGCTGTAGGGTGTATCAAGAGTCCGGTGAGTGTATCGTATCGCTAAGAGCATCTAGACTCCCTCGTATGAGGCCTAGATCATCCTCCCGTTCTTCTCCACAGCACAGGAACCATCATGCGTCTACTGGTATTTCCACACAACCGTGTCACCATCACGTTGAGTTGGATCAGATTAGATGTGTTCTTTGTGGTTTGTTGGGCTATGAGCATCGATGTGAATTGTCCTATAGGAGACTATATTCTGCCACCGGAGGTGCTATTGTGGCAACCAGGGGAATGGAACATGTTTACTCGCTTCAAGGGTGGTGATTATGAAAGGCGCATTCTTCTCAATGTAGTAGGGAGGTGAGCCCTTCGAGGTGGAGTGATGGGAAACTGCTGAGGTTCCACCGTAGACTTCCCTGGTTGAATGTCTCTGCAGGCTTGGGCCTTGGGAGCAGTTGTGAAGAGTCGTATTGGGCGTTTGTATAGGTAGAGTTGATGCCGCAAGAATTGGAGGCGATCGATGAGGTGTATAAGACGTTGGAGGCGCGGAAAATCGTTCTGGCTCGTCAGTTGGAACCACGAATTTTACGGTAGTGGGAGAAGTGGTCATGGGTATATCGTTGGTATTCTGTACGTCTATGACCTAGTTGCGGGAAACAGTTACCTCCAGATGACGTGATAGTGTAATATATATTTCTATATTCGAGTTTAGTACGTTTTACGTGAAGTGACATAATATTGAGAATATAATTAGTTCGATATAGATATATATATTTCGAGGAGAATTGTTTTATGAATGTCTAGAATTTGTTTCCGTACTTATATCAGGGCTTAGGCTTAGCCGCTCATTTCGGAGTTGCTGTTGAGTTCGCAGCCACACTCCTATACTGGCTACTACCTGCGTCTGGTAAAAGGAGTTCTGCTCAGTGAGGAAATTTCCCATACGTTAGCTCATATTAAAATAGTGTCTTGTCAAGGGAATTATCATTAAGATATTAAGAATATAGTAAATGCGATAAGCCTCTTCAATAGCGCTGGTGTGGATCTGAGATCAAGTCCACTGATCAGGTACCTTTACCACACACGTTTTGATGTTGGACGAGCTGTGAAGGAGTTGTTGGAAACTGAGAAGTGGCGTAAGTGGACTCAGGACCCCTCTAGCTTTGAGAAATAACGTTCCCCAAGGTGTGATAACAATGGGGGAAATGATGTTCCTAATGTGATGATATTTACATGGGAAACTGATTGAAGAATGTGTTCATAGCTAAAATTCAAAATGAGTTCTCCTCCCGGGAACATTATACGTTTCTGGATGATTCCCCGAGTGCACTATGCGCCAGGTTAGATTTGTGCATTAGAGGTGGACGGTAGGGGACATGTTGTGATTTCAGGATTGGAGTTTTTCAAGAAGCCAATACGCGATGCGGATATTCTGAGAGAGCTCAATTCGGTGAGTATTGAAGCTCAATAGCCGAATCGGGTTCCCTATATGTGTACACCGCTTGAAGAGGTGATTCGGTAGTGTATGCTATATATCGGCTGTGTGGTCTAGTGGTATGATTCTCGCTTTGGGTGCGAGAGGTCCCGAGTTCGATTCTCGGCCCAGCCCTTTTTTATTTTTAGGGTTTCCTCTATGTTTCTGGCCGTGATAAGCAGTATCGACCCTGTGTTGTGGTGCGACCAAGCTTATTAGTAAAAGAAAATATCTCCAAGGAGAATGCCATCCGCACTAGCGTATTCCTCATGGAGTTCATCACACGGTAGGGCCGGACAGTATTCCCTCATGCGGTGACACTGTGAGAGTAGGTACATGCTGCTAGCGAGTAAAGTAGAATCAGTTGTTATGATAGTCGACTTTAGCGGTGTCGGTCTGAGCGCTCCATATTCTACGGCTTTTGCCCTTTATAAAGTGAGCGGTCGCTGGACCTTCGCTCGGGGTCTGCGAAGGTTCGTGTTTGCTAGGTTCTAGCGTATCACTACGTAGGCCGTATGGCAGCCATTTACATCGTCAACTTGCCTACATTCATGAGAACGATTGTTGGTAAATTAGCGCATAGGTTGATGACTGAGCGGCAACTGCAGAAGAATCACATCGTGACAGATTTGAAACAACATCTCGCTAAGTAGGGTATGGCTGGTTAGTGTCAGTGTTGGGGGAATATATGTTGGCTTTCCTCAGCTGCTGAGCTCAGGAGTTTCTCCACTAATTATGGAAGTTCACAAACGAATTCGGGTAGAAATGTAGAGAAAGCAGCGATAGTTTCCCGAAATTTTTTTAGAATCTTCACATGTAGTTGAGCATATTTTCCCCTTACACTGCTCACTGTGGAGTCGTCATTCAGCAGTTTAATCTCGTTATTATAAAGGGCTGACCTAGGGCCCTCCCCTGCTATACTCGTACCGTTTCGACAAGCGTTAGATGCAGTCCCACTTTCTCTTCCTTGTTTCCGCGTAGTGTCTTACCACAAACACTCATACAGAATGAGTGTTCGTGTTGTAGTTGGCAATTCCGTCAACCGCAGAGTCTAGTGGAAATTTTAGCGGCTTTCAGAAACCGCGTTATGAGGTTCTATGTAAGGTACTTCGACCCTAATCAGCTGGAGAGGCGCTATGGTGGTGTTAAACCGAATATAGAGCAGCTCTACCCTATAACACATTTGAGTTCGAAGTACTCCATCTTGGTTTTCAACTTGATCAGTCTAACTCTTTTTTTGAGGTATAATGCCAAGGTGAAGAAGGATGAGTTGTTGAAGCATTGCCATGTGTAACTACGCCTTATGCAGCAGCTGAGAGTTGACGACTTTATGGTAGTTGTCTCGGTCTGCCTACGGTCCGTGGGCAGCTGTGGCGACGAGGACTTCCACAGGAGCCTTTGAGGTTCTCACGAGAGGCGTTACCGCTCTTTGAAGCACTGGGGTTGGGGAGGCCCGAGGTGGGTATAGACGACTTGGCACTGTAGATGTAGTTCGCTCGTGATAAGGTGATGCTGGTCGGGCGAGAGGACTCCCGGTTGGCTGTAGCAGAGGCTACTGAGGGCCGCGTTGTGCCTGAGGGGACTGTTGAGGATGTCCGAGTGGATGAGTTCGATCATGTAAGCGACTTCAGAAGTGTCATTGAAAGGTTGTTCATGCTGGTAGTTGTTGAGGTCCTCAGAGGGTAGGAGCGGAGGAATGGAGGATGAGGTGAAATTGGCAGAATTGTGGGAAGAGTTTTTTGACATTGTATAGAACTGGAATATATGTTTGGTTTTCTCAGCTTAGTTCTATCGCAGCGAGTATATTATATACACACTGAGAACTACTATAGTAGTAGCACAGTTTAGTAATGGTAGTTGGTTCTCACAGAGAACTACACAGTAGCACAGCATAGTAGTGGTATTACTATGCTCAGTTCCTCGAGGAAGGGAGTTTCTTGGCTATGTTTTGAAATTTAAACACGACTCGAGATGGGAATGTGCTGAAATTGGGAGAAATTCTCAGCAATACCACGAGAAACTGTTATCACCTATTTTCTAATACTGCATTAATGAGTTCCTCTAGAGTCAGGAGCTCACTCCACTTGCCGTGATAGTAACTTCTAAGATGAGGACGACGTTTGTGAGGCCGCCAAGACCCAGAGGAGATGAAAATGGAATGGTAGTAGTGACGGGTGGTCGTGGGCGGTATGCTTTTGTTAGGTAGAAGACTCTCGCACTCAACGAGCGCACCCCTCGTCGGTGTTGGGCTGTTTTTGGCAGTACTGCATGTCGTATTAAATCGTCTGGTCGCTATCACGTTGTCGTTGATTCAGCGGAGTAGTCGTGTTGGGGTGGTTCGTAAGGGTGTCTAAAGCGTATCGCTCCGCTGGCTGCCGGCTCCAGTTTGGGAAAAAATGTGCATATGGTCAACTACATGTGTATTTGAGAATATGAAAATTGTGAAAAAAAATTGGTGAAATTTTCTTCTACCCGAATTCATATATAAACTTTTGAGCTCGGGTGAGGAAAGCGAACATAGATTTCCACATTAGCCGCATCGCTTCGCCTCTGCAGTTGCCCGAATGAGAGGCCATTTCCGTTGTTGCACATACTAGGCCCTTTGGGGTTGTCGGAGAGTTTCTATTCTCGCAGTAGAGTGGGAAAAGCTAACATTGATGTCAGGATATTTTTCCTCTCCAAAAATGGCTATTGTCATCGAATTTGCCAGGCCGGTCCTGTTCACCGTCTTCGGTAGTACCAGGGTCTTGGTAGCTCTCATGGTGTGAGTTGATCGTAATCGAGCTTACTTGAGGTTGGTGTGGTAGGGAATTGTAAAGCTTGGTGTGATATTAATCTCGGTGACGGTGAGCGACTATGATGGGAAGTATGCATATGGTCAACTACATGTGATGGTGACAATCGCGAAAATTGTGAGGAAATTTTGGAAATTTGTCATTGGAGTTTCACCCGTTTTACGCGAAGTGGCGTAAAACTCGGTTAAAAGCGCGATATCCGCGGTGATATGCAGTAGTCGTGAAATATATTTTTTCACTAGTGATTTTCATATCACGGCCGCCCGTGAAACTCCAATGGTTTCTGTACACTTTCACCCGAATTTGTATGTGAACTTTTGAAAGTGCGGAAACTCCTGAGCTCAGCTGAGGAGAGCGAGCATATATTCCTCCAACACTGATAGTGATTTTGCTAAACGGTAGTGTTGTTGTTGAGATCAGTTCGCTAGAAATGAGCAAACACGATTCTTTTTATCAGGCCGAGCTGTTTACGGCTATGGACTCTGCATGGCTCTAGCATTCTTATCCGCCTTATTTCTCGGTGATGGCGAGCTGAAAAGAAAGAACTTGAAGGTGAGCTATTGACTATATACATCTAAGAGTAGACTGCTTCAGATCGACTCGTCGGCGTTGCTGCTGTCAGCGATGATAGGGGGAATTCTAGGGTCACGACTGCATTATGTGCTCACTTGGAATAGCACAGCTTCTTTCTGGGATATGTCTACGGGTGAGTTGGAATTATATGTTGGCTTTCATCGGTTGAGCTCAGGAGTTACAAAGAAAATTTGGTAAAAGTGTAAAGAAAATTACCAAAATTTTTTCCAAAATTTCCGCGAAATTTTCATATTGTTACCAAGTTTACGTATTTTTTTAATGCATCGTTCAGGTCATTCCTTCCAAGGAGGGTTGTTGGGTGGTATCATAGGCACTACGGGGTATGGGTCGTCGTGCTTCGCTCCGCCTTTTTTCGGAAATTTTTTTATTATAGGTATACTAAGCTCTACTGTCATGAATCTATCGGTCGTATGTTGGACACTTTGGCGCCGCTGCTTCTTATAGGGCATTCCATAGGTGAGGAAGTCGGCTTGGTTTGGGTCCCTTGAGAATTATGCTGGAATTTGATAATACCGTAAATCGATCATATCACACGCCTGTCGGATTGGTACCATTGTGGAATTTGATAATACCGTAAATCGTTCACATGTTCGTATCGATCACTATGGTAGTATAGTGGAGCTTTTCCTCTGCGTATTCGCAGTACTATGGTGATAGTCGTACAGAACTGTCACTATTTCTTGTACACAGTACTATGATGATAGTCGTACAGAACTGTCACTATTTCTTGTACACAGTACTATGATGATAGTCGTACAGAACTGTCACTATTTCTTGTATACAGCACTATGGTGATAGTCGTACAGAACTGTCACTATTTCTTGTGCACAGTACTATGATGATAGTCGTACAGAAGTGTCACTATTTCTTGTACACAGTACTATGATGATAGTCGTACAGAACTGTCACTATTTCTTGTACACAGTACTATGATGATAGTCGTACAGAACTGTCACTATTTCTTGTATACAGCACTATGGTGATAGTCGTACAGAACTGTCACTATTTCTTGTGCACAGTACTATGATGATAGTCGTACAGAAGTGTCACTATTTCTTGTACACAGTACTATGATGATAGTCGTACAGAACTGTCACTATTTCTTGTACACAGTACTATGATGATAGTCGTACAGAACTGTCACTATTTCTTGTATACAGCACTATGGTGATAGTCGTACAGAAGTGTCACTATTTCTTGTACACAGTACTATGATGATAGTCGTACAGAACTGTCACTATTTCTTGTACACAGTATTATGATGATAGTCGTACAGAAGTGTCACTATTTCTTGTACACAGTACTATGGTGATAGTCGTACAGAACTGTCACTATTTCTTGTGCACAGTACTATGATGATAGTCGTACAGAACTGTCACTATTTCTTGTACACAGTACTATGATGATAGTCGTACAGAATTGTCACTATTTCTTGTACACAGTACTATGATGATAGTCATACAGAAGTGTCACTATTGCTACCGTTCCTATCAAGCACTTTGCAGTTTTCTTTCCCATACCATTCAAGAGTGAAGTTACCCATGTAGATTTCATTACCCCCTGTGAAGTAGTTAGTGGAATGTGTATAAGGAATTGATTGATATCACAGGTCATGGTCAGGTAAGGTTGGTTGCTTCATATCTGGAGACGGATGTTATGGTTATCCTACTGACGTCCCGTGGGCAATGAGCTTCCCTAATGGGTTGGTTCCAACTACTATACGTGAGTGATTTAACACAACTATGTCAGTGTTGGAATATGTGTATGATTTTACTCACTAATCATAGAAATTTATTCACAAAAATTCCCAAAATTTCCTCTCAGAATTTTCATAGTGTCACCAACACACGTACTTGACCATATGCATATCACCCTATACTGTGTTTTCAGCGGTCCATCCGGCGCCCCTGTACGAGATGGTTACTTCTGGAGGAGTCGGATTGCTTCTGTGGCTTCGCAGGAAACAGCGTGAAGCTGTGCCCTGGGCTCAGATGTCTGACATGCTGATATTACTGGGCAGCACTAGGTGAGGGAGAAGCCTAGTGTTGGGGGAATATATGTTCGCTTCCCTCAGCTGAGCTCAATCATTATTATGAAGTTTACTCACGAATTCGGGTAGAAGTGCACAGAAAACACTAAAAATTTCTCAAAATTTTTTCATATTATCACCAACACATGTGGTTAATCATGTGCGTATTTTCCCGGCCTCATGTAGTGTGCGATTTATGGTCAGATTTTTCGTGGAGAGATACCGTGGGCATAACAGGTTGGAAGGAATTGGGATCAGCCAGTTCCAAGTGTTTGCTCTGGGCTTTATAGTGGCTGGGGTTATCGTGAGGTTGGCGACCAATCGTGAGTGGCTGGGCACGAAAAAGAGCGAAAAAGTATCTTCGAAAAAAAAGACAGCGCGTGCCAAGTAGGAACGATTTTCGGAGTTGTTTGTCATCTTTTTATGTCAGGAAAACGAACTAGGAATGGTATTTTTGGTAAGTATTTGAGAACTTCGGTCCGCGAATGTTGCAGAGCCATTTCGGCGTGCTTCTCGGTTGCGGTTGTTGCTGTTGTGTTTGTAGTAGTGTTGGCTATACACGGAATTTCTCAGCTCATCGGAAACGAAGTGAGCGGAGAAAAATGAATCTTGCGGTATGGGAAAATACACAAATGGTCAACTGCATATGTTGGTGACAATATGGAAATTGAGAGAAAATTGCGAGGAATTTTTCATTAATTACTGTATACTTCGACCCTAATTCGTGGGTAAACTTTATAATAATCAGTGCTGAAAATATGTAATCGCTTTCCTCAGCTGAGCTTGACAGTTTCCTCGCTAAACATACGCGTTATGTACGAATTCGTGTAGGAATGAATGAGGATTTCCCAAAATTTCCTCTCAGAATTTTCATCTCGTCACCAACACATGTGGTTGACCATGTGCATATTTTCCCATACTGATAATAGTTAGTGAGGAAGCTCCTGAGCTCAGCTGAGGGAAGGGAACATATATTCTAGCGCTGGCGATGACCAGCGGAAAACTGGGATAGTCGCTTTCAAGAGGAACTTGTACGCTTGTGAATGACCGCATAAAAGGGGATAGCGGGTTTCTGCTGGTTTCACGTTATTTTTATTCTAGATGGCCCTCACTGCCAAGTTTGTGCGGCCGGTGTTATTCACTGTGTTTGGTAAGTGTTTGTGTGGGGAGTATATTTCAAGAATTGGAATTTTTATTACTTCTGGGTTCTTCGCGACGTGTGCCAATTCACAGGAAAACATGATAATATTATAGGAATATTCCTATGATTTTCATAGGAAATATTTACAGGGAAAGTGGGAGAATATAATGGAGTTTTACCTGTTTTACGCGGAGTGGCGTAAAACTTGGTGAAAAACGCGATATTCGCGGTGATATACAGTAGTCTAGAAATATATTTTTCACCAGTGTTTTTCATAAGTAACTTTATATTTATTAGTGGAATATCTTTATTGAGCACCTGAGTTTCCTTCTTACAAGAAATGAATACTTCCTTGCTATGTTCAGGCATCAATGTCTACGTCTATGGCCTTTGCATGGCGATCGCTTTCATGGTCACGTATTCCCTAGGCGTTAAGGAAATCAGTAGAGTTCACCTGAAAGTATGTGAAAGCTCTCTAGGATTTGTCGGAATTGTGGTATATAAGGTCAACCCGTCGATCCTAGTGTTGTGTGCTATGCTTGGGGGCCTCGTTGGAGCTAGAGTGCACTATGCGTTGACTTGTGATAGTAGTGCGCTGTTCGCCCTCAATACGGGTAAGCTTTCCAACGCTTTTTCTTTCAATTCGTATTTTCAGTAGTATTTCTATTAGTATTTCTATTATTATTTTTATCAGTATTTCTATTGGTATCTTCATTAGTATCTTTATTAGTATTTTTATAAGTATTTCTATTAGTATTTTTATTAGTATTTCTATTAGTATTCCTATTGGTATCTTTATTAGTATTTTTATAAGTATTTCTATTACTGTTTTTATTAGTATTTCTATTAGTATTTTTATTAGTATTTCTATTAGTATTTTTATTGGTATTTTTATTTAGTATTTTTATTAGTAAAAATACTAATAGTATTGCTATTAGTATTTTTATTAATATTCATTGATCCCTTTGTATCTTTCCTCGCTCAGGTTTGTCCTTCCAGGGTGGCCTTATCGGGGGCATCATTGCTACTACAGTGTGAGAGTCACTTGCACTATCTTCCCTCCAGTCAGGGTCGTGTCTGTGTAGATATACCCGATACTGTTGTCAGGAGTCTGTGGGCAGAATGCTAGATGTGTTAGCACCTCTGTTGATGCTAGGACATGCCATTGGTGAGTAAATCTTCCGGGTGCGGTTTGAGAGTATCTTTTGGTATCTTTAGGTAAGGTAGGCTGTTTTCTATCTGGTGATGGCTGCTATGGACCGCCTTCTGAAGTGCCTTGGGCCATGAGCTTTCCCAACGGCTTAGTGCCATCCCTTTTTCGTGAGTGAATCGCTCTGTCTCTTTTCAAATACTCAAACGTTTCAGCTGTTCACCCAACACCACTCTATGAAATGGTCACCTCGGGCTTGATCGCGATGGCTTTATGGCAACGACGAAAAGAAGATATCCCTATGTGGACTCAGTGCTCGGATATGCTCATGCTCCTAGGGCTCGCACGGTGAGGGCGTTTTGAGAGGAAATCGGCGATTGATTTGACCGGGAACAACTATAAAGTCCGTCATACCTTCCCCTTGAAGGTTCTTCATAGAGTACTTCCGGTCGTACGACGCTGTAGAGGGGTTGAATATAGACCAGTACCAGATGGTAGCTGTCGGCCTCGTCATGGCGGGCGCGGTCATCCACTGGACGCTCGGTGGGGAAGTGACAGAAGACTTGTCGAAGTGAGGAGTATCACTTGTTGGCATTCATAGGTCTCGGGTTCGATTCCTGGTAGAGTCATTTTTTTCTCAGAAAAGAAGGCTGATTGATACCAGATATTTGACTGACTGCTGTGTTACTGTGTCCTTAAATACTGCTATTCACAATGTTCAGGTGTATTCTCATTTGTGTCGAGTTGAAGTGAGTTCCTTCGGGCTCCCAAGCTGAGAGCGTTATAGCTCTGTATAGCAATAGTGTAGACAGGTTGATGGCAGTAAACTTCCTTACGACTAATCGTATGACTTAGGATGCACACGGAGTTGTGACAGACAGTGATAGCTCCCAAATCCTTTTCCGAAACGATCACAATCTTTGAGTTCCACTTGATTTAATTTGATCGTATCAAGGGCGGAAGATGACCTGAGTCCGGGATATCTCGAAAACTCTCAAACGCTTCCCCACCCAAGGGATCAAGCCTTCCCCAGTGCGATAACTTCCAACACAAACCACCGTTGTGAATTATGACAAGAGTGAAGCCATCTCATACGAGAACTTCTCACCGAAAGAATTTCAATGGTGGATATCACTGTATTGGTTACGGGAAAACAGAAGGCAAAAAGACAAACATGGACAAGTGGTAAAGTACAACCCTCGCAGGAAAAGCGAGAGGAACAATTATCTGAGTATAAAGCGCCTCCAATGGAAGCTTTTTCTCATAGACAAAAGGGAGCTCAGCAATGGGGAGCTCTAGCATAGTAGGAATCAGCGGTGATGACAGATTGGCAAGTCTCAGCCATATCGTCGGTGACAGCCTTCTGGCCGAGGCGCAACGCATCGGGTTTGGTCAAGTCTATAGCGTAGTCGCCCTTGAGTTGGTATGTAGGAGTAGTGAAGATATCCATACTATAGACATCAAAGGGAGTGAACTCAGAGCAGGAAAGCTCATGATCACCTAGAGCACCACCCGCACGGAGTATCTCACACACGAGGGCACTGCAAACACGAGAGGGGCCCATCACAGGTTGGCCGTTATGATGGGTATGGTAGACCCAGTCGTCCTGTTCTGGGATAGTTGGAAGCGCAGCCGAGCCGCCCTCAAGCTTGGCGTCGGCCATCTTGAGGATATCACTGAGGCCCAATCCAGTGGAACCCATGCGGTGGTTGAAGGCCTCGAGGAAGAGGAGGTCGGCCATGTCGGGTTTAACACGTTCGACCAAACCTAGAAGGGTCTCGACGAACTCCCATGAGAGACAGGTCTGATAGTCGTCCATAGGAAGGCAGGGGTAGTTGCCCTTGAGAGTGTCAACACTAGTAAAGAGGAAGTTACTATATCCATAGTCGTTGCCCTCAAACTCGGTGGTGAACTTATTCCAAGCAGCATCGTTGTCGAAGCTCTCACGGAGTTCCTCCTTGAGAGGAACAAGGACGGCGTTATTATACCAACCAGCATCGTCCTTGAGATACTCCTCGAAGGTGAGCTTGCGTACACCACCGGCCCAACTCTCAATGGCGTAGAGTTTCTCAGTCTCAGGATCACGCAAGAACATCATACTATGACTCGGGATAGAGCCACCTGCCCACATTATAGATGCACTCTGGCCTTGAATATTCGTGACCATTATAACATCGCCAGGATGGATATCCTCTTCAGCAATGTCAACGGCACCAGGGTGGGTGCGCTTGTCGAAAGTGAAGCCCATGAAGTGATCGACGAACTCTAGGGCCTGGTCGCGACCAAGTAGCAGGTCCGCGGTCTTGATGATGCCCTCAGCCGCATCGACGAGGGAAGTGCGGAGATCAAAGACGTAGATCTTCCCCTTGTCAGCAGTCCACTTGTATGTTTCCGTACCCCGATGGAGTTTGTACTGCATATGGAAGTCAGCGGCGTTGCCAAAAAGGACGTACTCGGCACACGTCCAAGAGACCGCATTGCGATAATCAGCCTCGATCATGATCGTCCCGTCCTCGCGTTCTGTCGAGCGGACCTTGATGTCTTGAAAACAGCGACCGCTATAGCTGTGCCATTGACCATCGTTCTCCAAAGTCGCGACATGCCTCGGAATGAAGTTGTAGAACATATCAGCACCCTTCACATGGTCACCGAGAGTATCAATGATCTTGGCAGACCAGCTGAGGAGCTCCGACCCAGCCCAGGACTTCAGACCGGCAATGGAGCTCTCGAACCAATCCATGACGGGGGATACAGGAGAACTACCAAACTCGGCCACAGTAACGTAGGGTCCAGGGGAGAGGTAATCCTCGATGTCCTTGGAAGTGAAGACAGCGGTCTCCTCGGGATCGATGTTGTCACCAGAAAGGCGACCCGAAGCAGAGTTTAGGAGGGCCCAGAAGGCCAAGGCAGAAGTGCCACCGAATCGCATTGAGGAGGAACACGAGGAACAAGATCTATAGAAGGGGCAATCACTCACCATCTGCGAGGTGGGTATAACACAGCCGAAGGTTGTATTAGGTCCTAACTATCAACCGGTCAAAACCCACGTAGTGGATCTGTATAACACGAACTTCAAGGAGACAACCGTGAAGATGGGGACATCGGCTTTCGCTCAGAACACAATGCTAGAAGCTATGTCGAGCCATACGCCCGGGCGAACTTCAACGCAAGATTCACTTTCACGTTTTGTCCTTTCACACAATCAAATGCTTTCGTACCGTACCCGAGAGCCTCTAGGGCCTCTTCGTTAACCGTATTTGAGTGCCGCGTGAGATCTCAGTGTCGCTCCGCTGTTCAGTGTGATTCTTTATCGGGCCAACTAGTGATAACTCAAAACTCAACAATGGGTAGCTGACAATTGACATCACTTATGAATCATGGCTGATGGGAATTCTTCAGCCTAACAACTCTGCAGGGGGCACATGAGGGTTCAGCCTCTCCATCATCTCAGAGGCGATCAAATTGGCTGAAAAGGAACGTCAAACCACCACCGCCGGGCCGCACTATCTTACCCCGTCTATAGCTGCAGCCCAGGACATTTGCCGAGTCCTTCAAAGGGATGAACCCACCATACCCAGGGATAGCAGCACGGCGCCTCGACAAACGATAAAGGCCAGAGCCAAGGACCAATCTGAACAACAATCGCTCTTTTTATTCAACACAATCGCTCAAGTCACCTCTTTCGAGCATCGATGGCATCTTGCATGGCTTGATAGTGGAGCAACCTCAGGTCGACCCCGGGCTTCTCCTGTTGATCCTTCGCACAGGAGTCTGACAGAACTCAGCATTCGGCCCTCACCAACCAGACGTGCTCACCTTCGGCGCTAGGCGGGTCCTTATAAAATACCTAGAAACGATATGGTGATGAATTTCCTGATACGGGATTCGAAGCTTTACTACCTTGAGCGAATCCAGAGACCTCAGGATGGTCGATTTCTTAGCTGGAAGCCGCGCTGCTGGTGGTGCCGATAGGGAAAATTTGGAAGTTTGCATTACTCAAATGTCCTGGGGCCAACCTTGGACCCAGGGCCCCTCAACCCGAAAGACGCAGACAGAGGAAACGATGGTCACAAAAGTACGTGGTTCAATTTGGCGTAAACCCCTATTCCATACCACTTGGAGGAACATCGTCGGCTCGACGCATGGTCATCTCCTCATCGTGGAACGGCAGCCCAGACTGATCGTACCTGATCTGTGCTTGGCCACGCATGGGAGAAGACCGCGGACTCACATAGCCTTCTCAGCATCGCTAGGGATGTAAGCACGACAGAACCAACACACTCCTCCTAACACCGCTGTGGCGTAGACGGTGCACCCTATAACGTAACTGATCAATACGATGCACATCATTAACCACCTATCTGGAAAATCCCGAATTACATGAGTGGAAAACGAATAGCCCCGGAGCCGACGAGCAGTACGAAAGAGCCCATGAAGACGCTACCCCATTGAAAGGCTGAGAGGAGGGAAAGGAAGTCGAATGCCATGACCTGAAGAGCTTCAACAGCTCTAAGGAAGGCCTCAAACCAAGCAGTATGCTACTATTACCGTCAATGCGCTCTGTTCTGCCAAGGCCCCCCAAGGGCTCTCTATGGTGTCCTCACCAGCAGCCATTCGAGAGAAACGAGTCGATACTCCGAACCCTATCGGTGTTGCTCGCGTAATCCAATATGCAAAGAAAGCCGCGAACATAGTGACGAACCACGCAGTGTAGGCCAGCAGTGCCAGGCCCTCCAGGTCCACTCCCGTCGGGAACTTGAAGAAATGCATACTCTGCACTATCGCCTTGATCGCCGAATGATTTGCATTCACCATGCAGACTACGCTCGCATATACCAAGAAACTGAGGGCGGAGCGACGCAGTGACGTGGAGGTGTGATTGCCATGGGGCATGATCGGCTCGGGACCAAAACGCTTGTAGAAAAGCATCGCGCACGCTGATACGACGATAGCCCAGAAGATGGACAGTGTTAGTGAGGCGGGGTGGGGCTTGAGGAAGGTCACATATCTGCGAGAAACGGATATGGTCGGCCGAACACAAAGACCGGAGGTGGATTCGAACCCCCGACCTCGAGATTAAGAGTCACACGCTCTACCTATTGATCTAAAATTCACGCGACCAACGATAATAGAAGAGAGAGGAGGCAGGGAAAGGAAAAGGAGGAGAAGTTTTCACCGTCGTTTGCCGGATCTCGGATTCCCCCCTCCCCCCTCACATGATCAGCCACCACGCAGTCCCTACGCTAGTCCCCATACAGTACATAAATAGTAGTAAAAGGTAGTGTCCCATATGGTGCGGTATGAATATACTACCACCCCTTCTACGCAGGGCCGCATTAACACTCAACGTGCACACCAGGGTCGACGCAAGCGCGAGAGTAGCGACCATAATCCACTCCAGCCAGGACCAGGCCTTGCCAGCGTAACTCACCACTACTGCTACTTTCGCGGATAGTATTGTGATAGGAACCCATTCGGCAGCTCCGGTGAGGACCGACCAAGAAAACGCTCGAGCACACCATCGGTTAAAATAGGGATCTCCCAGCTTTTCTTGGAGGTGCCACACGAAGACGCCCGTGAGGAGCAAGCACACCAGGAACTCGCACATACCTATTTAGTACTTCTCAATTTGCGAGCTATTCTAAATATACAGTTGATATGCAAATGTGTGTCTTACAGTGAACAAGTTGTCGCGAACGGGTGCTTTCATCACAACACATGTTCATATTACATTGGATATGCGATGTCTAGTTTCAGATTGATTCTCGTTAGTCTCGGGAAATAACACACATTTGCACACCACATTGACACGCACTGTAGAAGATATAATCGATTTGATAATATATAGACAAACTGATAAATACAGTGGAGTTTCACGGGCCGGGATATGAAAAACACTAGCGAAAAATATATTTCACGACTACTGCATACGACCGCGAATATCGGCTTTTTCACAGAATATTACGCCACTTCACGTAAAACTGATGAAACTCCAGTGTCATCATCATATTATAAACGTCTTATTCCCTCATCGTCTGCATAGTTACATATCACATTTCACACACATACTATCCATGATCAATTCGAATCGATCTGAAACTATATCGCATAAACAAAATGGAAATTTCGACGAACACGCTTTGTGATAAAAGTAACCTTTCGAGACTATAACATCCACAAGTGATTCACTAGCACTAATCCCGGAAAACGCGTATGTGCATATCAAATTAGCCAAGTCGTAATAGATCAATTACCTGCTAGTAGACACACACTGAAGCTGTTCCGTTGGCACCGCGATGCGAAAGCGAAGTCCATCGCCCGAGGGTCCTCCCCCAGCAAGGTCAAGACGACTGAGTCCACTACCATCCTCAGGGCTCCGGCCGATACCACCGTCGCGGTGTTCCGAAAGTAGGTACGGTATGTCGATCGCCATAAACGTTCGTCCTCTGCAGTTTCTGTTGCCTCCCTTCCTAGCAGGGCCGTACTCATGAAAATTCAAAGCTTGTCGCTCTCCCGGATATGACAAACGCGACCAATTTTGGTACAGAAATTGATACACAACTAGCCGGGTTAGAAAGCCAATAACGCCAGCATATAAACAGGGAGGACGAGGTTATCAATACTCGTGATATAGCACTCCAAAAACGCTGTGGCGCAAATTGCCATACCACTCCTTCGCCACATCATAGCCCAATCGCCCCCGGTCATGACAGCTAAACCATAACCCATCGCAGAGACTACAAATCCAATCAAGCCCGCAATAGTGCGTCGCTCCGCCCCCGGAATTTTAGGTCCTCTCACGGTGACTCCAACACAGGCCGCCATCGCATCTCCCACCCCCACCGAGAGGATGCCTGCCGATGCTCGTAGTACTGAAAACTCACTAGAGTATCCAAGCTCGAACCATACAGGAATGGACAAGCCCAGTAGAAGGGATATGTGAGTAAAGATGATGCCGCCGTCGCTCGGGTCCTTACCATCCAAGTACTGCACGAGGTACCCCGATAGTTTCTTGACGATCTTCAGGTGGGTGTGGTATACTCTTAACGCCTCCAGGACAATAAAAAGGCCCAAGGCGATGAACTGTGAGAAACCTAGGAACTCCGGGTCGCTGATTACGACCGGCTGGAACAACACTACCGCCAACAAGTGGAAGAGCTTCCTCACAATGATTGTACCCCTAGACCCTTGACCGAAGACATGTACACTCTCGGTCAGCTGCGTCCCCCCGACTCCGATCAAGATTGCCAGACCCCACCAAAACAACGTAGTGCAGTGCGAGGGGGTTCCAATGTACTCCACCAAAGCTGCTATCGATCGCTCCGCCCTTTCACTACAGATCGACCGACTGAGAAGGTACACCGCACTGAGCAAAAGTGAATATAGTGGAGACTGTATTCGTCTAGGAGACAGATCCAACCTGGCCAGCATGAGAAGGCACCCAAATAGCACCAACGTAGAAGCTAGCATAGCCGTCCACGCTGAGGGAACTGATGATAGAGTGGAGTGCCTCGTGATAGCGATACTTCCACAAGCCGCTAGCTGAGCCAGCAGACCACTCTCGAGGCGAGTGAAGCGATTAGCCAGGAGGTCCTCAGATATACCACAGACCAATACTAATAGGAACACAGCCACCACTGGGGTGATAAATAATAGAGCAATCAGCATGACGACCAAAGACCTCTCCCATTCCGGCTTCAGCACCAACGACACGACATAACCCAGTACCATCAGAAGCGAACATAATGATGCCGTTGAAGGGTCGTAACGCACAAGTACCGAGAAGGCCAGGCCCAAGGCGGCTGGGGTGCTACGCCACACTGGGGCTACTACCAGTTCGACCAGGCCTATAATGGCGACTGTCGCTTGCAGAAGGCACGCCCCTGGGGGCACGCTTAGGAAGGGTATCATCATGAGGATGCTCTCTAGGAGGCTCTGTAGGGACGCAGAGGAGAAACGACATATAGGTGATGATGGTAACATAAAACAAATCCTTTAGCGGAGCGATGCGAAAAAATGCACAAATCAACACCGAAAAATGGCAGAAACCAGCCAGAGAATAGCAACATGGCAAATCAACGATCCAACGAGAAATGACGTCTGCGAATCCTCTTCAATTTCTGAGGAGGCATTCCGGATAATTTCGTGGCACAGCGGTCAGGACCAGGCCCACCTCCCACCGACTTGGCGGCTCCAACTTGAATCGACACCGGCCTTCTCCCATCTCGCAGCGCTCCAGAAGATCCTTTAACATGTCCTTCATTTCTTTATAGGTCTTCCCTTCGAACTTAGGTGAACATATATAACCCCAGTAGTGCTTATCGTAAAGGTAGTTGCCCGCATTCTTGTCATTTTGCATTTCAAACGCGATCGGCTGAAGCTCCTGGTCAAGAGAACAGTGTTGAGAGGAAATACATAAAGTGCTCATCTGTACTCACAAGGGCGTCATCGCCCATTTTAGGCAATTTTGGGGGAATATATGATGGCTTTTCTCAGCTGAGCTCAGGAATTTCCTCACTAATAACGAAATTGTACATAAAAATTCAGGTAGATAGACCAACGAGAATTTCCATATTGTCTGGAATTATCTAAGAACCTATAATGTTCCCGTGAAGACTCATTTTGTAGGAATACATTTTCAACTAGTTTTCCATGTAAATATCACCACATTAGGAACATTCCCCCATCACTATGAAACCTTGCGGAACATTATTCCCCAAAGCTTGATGAATCTCTGTTTACAATCGTACAAACCAGTAAGCTAGCACCCCACCCTACCCTCGTGATAGTCTTCTTAAGGTTGTCCTGATTAGGAGCCTCCGGGCGTACGAACTTATGATAGTGCCTTATACCGCACCAGCAGCAACTCGGCGTCTCCAACCTCAGCCGGCCACAAGCCGTTGGTAACATCAGCGACACAAACTGCCTACCAAACCGGATACCGCAGCTCTCTGGAGAATAGCAACAGTACTCATACTGTAGTTTTCAACATCACCCCTCCCCCCCCCTTCGAGGGAATCAGTACCATAATTCTTACAATTCACCACTCGAAAACCGGTGGCATCCAGTCCCGACGACTGGACAGCAAACATATCATCATACCGCCATATGGGAGCGGTAGACCATACAAACGTTGCTTCCCATATCACTACCCTTTATGGAACAACACGATAATACCACAACATTCTCTCCACACATGCGATGAGGATACCCTCCCACCAACTCAACAGTGATGCAGTAGATAGCGATAATGATACGGAATGGTACGCTAGTGAAGAATCCATAAAAAGATCAATAATGCGCCGCTGCTGCTCCTGAGCGCCGCCGCTTTATACTAGTCCAGCGACCAACAAGGCCATGCGTGCTCCGATCTGCCGCTCTGTTGGGGTCCTTTAGATGCACTCGGGGAGTTCGTGTGAATATCCCTAAACACAACATAGAGAAGAGTCATCCATGAATCTATAATATTCTCCGGAGGAACTTATTCTGAATTTTCCGCAATTTTATAAATAGTTTCCCATGTGAATATCATCACATTATGAACTTCCCCCCCCAAAAAACTCTGAGTAACGTTATCTCTCAAAGCTAGATGGGTCCCCGCCCTTGCCATCCACTCACATCTGCGTCTGTCCTCATCATCACTTTCCTCATGCGGCTTGCATGCCCACTTGGACGACCTTTCCTCCACCTCCCCCACACCCAGCTTGAACCCATCAATAGGGAAGTCCTCTTCCTCTTCCTCCTCCTTCCGTTGCTCCCGCTCATGGACTGCCGCCAAAGCCTCCAGCTCCCTCTCAACCTCATCTACTCGATTCTCCGCCATCCGTTTGAGTACATCCTCGTCAATCTCAGGCGCGCGAGAATACACTGCGGCATTGAAAGGGCTCTCACTAGGAGTTTCCTCTTCAACAGCAGACGAGGACACAGGAGACTCTGATATATCGCTAGTTATGCCCTCCGAAGAGGTTGCTGCTAGTTCGACACACCTACCATGAAGAACAACAAATTCCAATCCAATAAGAATGGAGGAACTACCTCCCTCGAGGCTGAGGAATCTTAGGTTGGCCATCCTGAAGATACAAAGCAAGCCCATGAGCTGTGGTCTCTGCCAGTCGGGTCATGCTCAGTTTAGCTTCCTCAAGACAGTCCCCCAGTCGGCAGTCCAGTTGCCGCCATTGTGCCGAGGTCTTGTCATCACCTAGGAGGCCTTGCAGTCGGCCCACCTGCTCCCGTACGGGCCCTGAGGAAACAAGGAGGAGCTCCAGGACAGGTATCTTAGGTTCAACCATGAAAGATACAAAACATGTCCACTTATTGACCACCATCTTCCAAAGCCATATCTTCCTTACTCTCACGCCATTCGTTGCCCTCAGAGATATTCATTCATGGTCAGAAACGTCCCGTGTGAGCAACGACACTTCTCAACACTGCGGCCATCACGTCATCACTAAAACGACTGTAAAGAAGGGGGATAAGGAGATTAACCCTCTCAACTAGGGAATGCTGCCAAGACAATATCCGACCTAATCCGTATCTTTCCCGCTCAACCTCTAGATACCCTCCCCAACGTACATGGTGCTGCCGCCAACGCCTTTTCCCTCCTCCCTCCCTGAGTAGCCTCTATGGTCGACCCCACCAGCCCTGCTACCATACTCCTCAATTTCCCCATACGCCCCCCGACCGACGGCCGATGGACCACATCTCGACATACTCTGAATCTTGAACCATCATCCTCCATATACCTTCCCACGACTTACTCGTGATCAGCCAGAGTATCCGCAGATCTTGCCACATCTTGCTCATCTTGCATTTCCTCAACGCTGTCATCACTATCTTCATCCTCCGACTCGCTAGACGACGAATAAGCTCCGAATAAGCCCAGACCAGTGACCTCCTTCACTGTTGATGCTGGTGGGGGTATAATGGTCGTAGTGACAGTTGGGGTGGTGACACCCTCGGCCGGTGGTGACACTGTTCCTCGCCTGTCCCCATCGGAACTCCCCTGTCGACGATGCAGACTCCGTGAGAGTATCCGCGATTGAAAAAGGGACATCAGAGCACACAAACTGTCACCAATTTCCCCAAATTTTTCTGAGTACACAACAGGCAGAGACAAACCCGGACGAGAAAACATAGTGTATAGAGGAGGACGGCGATAGTCATCTACTCCGCTTCAAAGGCGTCTTCAATATCTTCATACTCGCCGCTGTCTTGAGTCGTATAGTCAGTATGGACTCGAGTAGTCTCGTTGTCACCTTCCACCTCAGTCTCCTGTTTCACTTGCTCTAGGGAGGGGAATCTTTGCATCATCTCGGGACCTGATGAGAGAAAGATACAAAATAGGTCCAATGGTAAAGATACAAAACAGGTCCAATGATAAAGATACAAAACAGGTCCAATGATAAAGATACAAAATAGGTCCAACGATAAAGATACAAAATAGGTCCAATGATAAAGATACAAAACAGGTCCAATGATAAAGATACAAAACAGGTCCAATGATAAAGATACAAAACAGGTCCAATGATAAAGATACAAAATAGGTCCAACGATAAAGATACAAAATATGTCCAATGATAAAGATACAAAACAGGTCCAATGATAAAGACATACTTCTACCCCTCCCCGGCTGCTTACCATTCTGTAGTTTATTTTCCCCCCACTCCACAATGTCCAGGAATTGTACTTTGGCGAACTCTCCAATATCGGATAAGGAGTGCGTCTGGCTGAGCTGATGCAAGGCGATGGCGATGACGCCCACCGACAGGACGCGGCACACAATCATCAGCCAATCGTCGGAGCGGTAAGCAAATGAGTACACGGGTTGGAAGGACTCGATCACTCCGAGCTGAAAAAATATCCGAGGTCCAAGCGCGCAAGATACAAAGTAGGTCCGCTCGGCTCACATCCTCATCAAGAAGATTAGGGAAAATCCAAAAGTCGGCACCAAACGCCCACAGTGCGACATAACAGACCATGCGAACGACCAACAATACAGTCATGAAAGTCGAGAAGGCCACTGTCAAGTACCTATCGCAGCATAACAACAAAATCTTCACTGTGCGCAAAGATACGCCAAGATACTACCAGACCCCAAGCTTAGCCCACATCGGCCATACTGGGAAAAGACACATCAAAAGCACAGCGGTAATGACAACTCCCAGAAGTACATACTGCATCGTCTTGGACCCCTACCCCACAACGCGAAAATGGTATACAAAAAACGCTTCACTCCGCCTTCTTTACCTCCCACTCCACAATATAAAGCCCCTTAGGATCATAACCCTGATGCTGTGGCGCCACTCGAGCTACCCTGTCAGGCCACTTCCGACGACGACGCTCAGTACTGCCCGACGGCTTGTCCGTGGCTTGGATCTACATACACACCCACCATTCACTGCAAGTACTCCTTCTAACGCCTACAGTAGCATCGACACAGCGGAACATGAAGCCTCCAGTGATGAGGGGGATGACGAGCTTGGCATTCTCTGCTTCGGTTTCTGGGGCCTTCCCATCTAAACACTTCTTCAAGGCATCCGGGCACCTTTTCTTGAGGATTGTTCCGTTCTTGAGGAGGAACTCCGTGAGCTCCTTGCCTGAAACCGTCACGCGCCATAAAATTATTTCCAGCAATTTCTCGGGAAAAATCCGAAATTCCGTGTTACCTCGAATAATGGTCACAACCTTCTTGCCGACCTCAGTCGCAGTGCGGTTATTCACACCTTTCTTGCTCATCAACAACTTCACTGAAAAGAATAAACCAACATCAAAATCACAGCGGAGCGAAGCAGTATTAACAGCGCCTAGACCATAGGATTACTCAGAGGCTCCATCGAAGGATCCCAGTCGCGCTTCCCTGCCGTTTGCGACATCTTCGCGCCAATGAATGTGGACAAAAAAGACACTGATAAGAGCTCTCACTGCAAGACCCCAACTCAATAGCTTAGAAAAGTGAGTGAAAAACGCTTAAAATTTGATACTATCGGGCGGATGGGGCATGTCATACGAATGGGAATATAAAAATGCACCCGGCGAGGTTCGAACCCACGACCTTCCGGTTACTCTCTTCTCAGAATGACAGCGCTCGCCCCGCCTCCGC